TAAATTCCAATAGACAACAGTGATAAATGCTCATACTTCAAAGATCTTTTAGAAGTGTTCAGGCTGCACAGAAAAATGATGATCAACGTGTCATCTTTTTTTTTCTTTTCAATTTTTGGTGGGTTGACCGATGACTTTTCGATACCACCCCTAGTGATGTTTCCCAAAGTGGAAAGGTAGCCATCTTGAAAACGGATCCATCCACAACATGGCTAAAAAGAGCCACTTTCGGACCCGATTGCATACAAAATGCTCTGAATTGGGAGCCCCAAGTCCGGACCAGAGATGTAAGTATTGCCATTATCTCTTCAATTTCCCAACTCCATAGCTCTCAGAGCCCTCTAACATAGAAACATTTGAGGGTATAACTGTTATTCAAAAGCTCTTCGGACGGATTTATTTTGGCCTATTCACATAAGTGCAGCCGGTGAATAGGCACGTAATCTCACACTTAAATAAAAAAAATACTCACTACAAATGATAAGACCAAAATAAACTAAAATACAAACCGAATGAAAAAGAAAGTCAACGCCCATTGGCTGTATTATATTGTAAGTTCGGCCAGTGATCGGATTTGATGTGTTACATAAGGAGAGTCAATTTCGTGAGAAACCGTCAAATAACAACTGAAAGTTTCTTTCGAGAAAGGCGCACTATATAAAACTAATGGTCTCGCACCGGCACCAAGACAAACGTGCGCCTGTGCCTACTTTAAAATTCGTTCAAAAGAGGGCGCGCCACATAAATAGTGGTCTCAAAGCATCAACACTGACGATGCACTAGTGAACAAAAAGAACAAACTAGTTTTCGATCAACTACTCAAGAAATACGAGATGTATTAAACTGAAATGTTGTGCTCTGTTTAACTACGATGTGTTACAGACGGAGTTTGAATATAACGAGGAACCGTCTTATAATACAAAGATTATGATCGTAACAATGTAGTGCTTTACATGCGAAACATCAATGTTGACTCTCATTGGTCCGGCACAACACGACCACTGTTTAGAGTTGTTACGATTAATCTTTCTTTTCTTTTTTTCTTTTTTCCCCCGTTACGTACGGCACATTTCCGCGGGTTTTCTCCTTAACGGTTTACGATATGAACTTGTAACTTTCAATATATATCGACCCTCGTCCTAAGTGGTGCATATTATTCTGACGTCAGAATAATGTCATCTGGTGTCAAATTAAGAGCGACTAGCCGAAAAAGCGACCAATTACTTTCACTCTTGAACGAAATAATCAATGATGTTTGTAATTTGTAAGCAGATAGACCATCGACTGACAGACATTTTTTTTGTCGTGTACGTGAACTCGTTTACTTCCGGGTCTACTGGAAGGTTAGTGAATGCACCAAAGCTCGATGCAGATCAAAGCAATGCCCTGAATGATGTCTTTTATGCATTTCAGTATAGTTTTATTAGTAATTTTTGAGGACATCTAGATTTTGTTTTAGGTAGTAATCCAATTCAATTTAGTTGATTTTCAAAAATATTATAAGGTATAATTGTGTTTGAAAATGTAAATGAATGTTTTGGGTATTAGTTAATTTGACAGTAATTGAAAAACAATTCCTGTCTACCAATGGAGCAATGTTACACTCATAACACGCAAACGACCAATGTGAAGGAAATAAATCACGCAAATATTGACAACAGGTAGAAGACAGAATTCAATTTTCATTAGGTTTTTAATTGTTTAAAAATGTCCAATGGAAGTAACTATTTGTTAATTACACGTAAATCATTTACATATGATTTAACATAACTGGCTTCCTTTTTGTTTTACCAACAATAAAGGGGCTTTGAATGGACTGGATGCAAGTCTACCACCTTGATGTAAGTACTTGATGCAAGTTTTTTTTTTTTGAAGTTTGCTCAAAGCCATGAATTTCTTAATGTATGCTTGGTACTCCAATTTATCAATTTTGTTTACAGAACCATGTTGAAGAATTAATAATAAAAAAGGGAAAAATTAGGCATAGGGCAGTTTTATTACATATAATATGGACTTTCTTTTGCTTGCAAACATTGACCGCCATTTTGTATGAGTTGCCAATTTTTTTTGCATATTATTAACAGCCTCGTTACGTAAGAAAGAGAAATCTTTGTTAGTTTGTTGGATATCTTTTATTTTCGATAATCCAATGGAAACATGTATGGAAACTTTCAAGTACTATTATTTATTTTTATGCAACGTTGAACTTGGAAGTTGGCAGAGAAAGATGTATAGTTTATGCAACTGGTATGGCATTTGCCAAAAGATTCAAATTTCCAAAGTGCACAATATATATTTTCTTATATTTGCGTTTTGCAAAGCAACATCACAGGCAGCTTCGTGCTGATTTTCGTTCACTAAAAAAAACATGTTTTGAGGAGCATCTACAGTGTATGATATTGGGAATTTATCGCAAAACAAAACCTCCACCCCACCCGCCCCCCCCAAAAAAAACCTCCACTGCCCCATCAATCACAGATTTCTCCTCCCTATATAGCAATATTAAACTTGTACCTGCAATGCCCATATATGCATATATACGTAAACTGCAGGTAAGCATCTATGTACAATAATAATAAATATTTCACTTTAATTTTACTGTAGAAACAGTGTTTTGACCCCAAAACCACATTAGTATAAAACCCATCACCTTTTAACTATTGTCAAAATGTTGACACAAAATAATAAACATTTACATTTGCCAACATGTCTAAAATGGAAAAAGAATTAATAATATACATTTTCCCTCTAACGTCATTTTCAACAGCTCAGGATGTGAATAAAGAATAAAGAATAATTGCGACATCCCTTGAAAGACAAAGCCTCAAAGACAAGTCGAACATTGAAGTGTGTCCTTAGTTTGTGCTCCAAGTGACATTTGAAATGGGTCTATTCTAAATTGACACACAGGAATATGGATTATACAGGGCGAGTCAAAAAGAAAGTGACCGAAAAAGAAAAAAAAATACATAGCTCTCTCCATTTTAAAAAAGAACAAGGGGATAAAGTACAGGTAATCGACTAGTAACTGTGAAAATGTCACTCAATATACATACTCTATTCCCAAGTTATGACTATTTTAACCTAACAATCACAAAATTCAGCTGTCCACTATACTGATCATTTACCGTTCTACGACCTGATGAATACCCTTAAATACAATGAAACATGGACATTCTCCCACCTCCATGAATGAAAGAAAACTTGCAAATGACAAAAAAAAATACCACCAATATTTCAGAAAAAAAGCAGAGTTGTTCCTCATATTCCAAACAATAACATCTGACAGAAAAAAAAAATGTTTCAGTCTTGACTCAAAACAATGATTGAAATCCTGTTGTATTTTAAACGCATGTCGGCTCAATAGCAATCCATGAACAGAATAGGTTCTTTGAATAAAACATGCTTCACTTCTAATAGATCGAATAAATGTCACATTTTTTTCAGACGAGTGGAGGAACATGCTTTTTTAAGACATACTTCATTGTGTATTAAAAGCGATTGCTTTTTAAGGAAAAAATTATCATTATTCCAGGTTCTTTCTTTTTGACTCACCCTGTATTAACATTCCTTCACAAGAAACAGGACAACAAGACCAATCCATTAAGCTCAATAGTTTGACCAATCACAACCATAATTGTTCAACCAAATGTCCAATGACAGTCCGGCATGAGCGCACTTTCATATGACGCGCGCAACTGTAACATACAGTGTGGCTTTGGAGAGGCGCACATTGTTGTTGCTGATGTGCGCAGTGGGCGGGTCTTATTGGACCGGTCATTTGCATACGTGCACCCCATAACACACCTAGTCTGAGTATCAGCTGTTGTCCAACGGAGCCATCTCCGTATCCAATGTCTAATATATATGAGTAAAGCCAAGTTATTTATATAAGCTGTTGTCCAACGGAGCACTCTCCTTATCCAACATCTGATATATCTGAGTAATGCAAATTGTGTGTGACCGCGTGCACCAGCCAATCAGAGTCGACTTTAAAATTTGTGACGTCTTCTCGATCAGAAATGTGGACTAAGCTGTTGATTGGTCAGTTTGGCTGGCATATTTTTGTTTATACAATACTTAACAACGGGTTACAGAAGAACTGATATAGAAGGCGCCTGCTGAATGGTCAGAATCTCGAGGTCAAGGCGCAGTCGTGCTTTCCATGATTAATTGCCGAATCTGCGTAAATATCATAGGACGCTTCTGTTCAAGTGGCAATTCCATAGACTACAACAGACTTTCTAAAATACCGCAAAAACCATTGGGTATGAAGATAGGATTGATAAATAAAACTCGTCAAATTATGTCTCTCACAAGTTTCTATTTAGAAAAGCAAAGTTTTAGAACTCATCAGCTTTCGATGAAAAAAATCAAGTCGTAAAAAATAGTTTTCTTCTTTTAATCAAGTCTTGAAGGTCAGTAAAACCTTTTTGTTCGTTGTATTTTAATAAATTATTGCAATATATCCCAGTTTCGACGTTCCCTCAAAACAAATCTGGAAGAAGCATCATTATATACTGACATTATATGCAAAAATATACAAAACAAATCTGTCTTATAACACCAACAAATTAACAAATTTAAAGTCATTCTACTGTTAGATATTACTGTCCAAGTACTGAAAAACTATTGTGCAATGCAGTGTACGTTCGGTTAACTCAAATATTTTTGGGGGATGAGTTTGCTTGTTCCACTTTCAAACTTATTAGAATGCACCTTGGCAGTTTCTCTTTGCAGTTTATTTGAAACTATGTAAAAAAGCCGTATCCTGTCTGAGTGATCCCCGTTTGCTATTTCCCAGGTTTGCAGCATTGCTAATGTTGCTAGCATCGTGACTTTGAGTGTGATCCCTGGCTACATGGCATATCTACAGGTTTATGGCTTCTGACTGGTGTCCCTTGAACAATTACATTGACAAACTGGGGAACCGCCAACATAGGGCTGGATAGCCCAGTTGGTATAGAGTGGCGGAACGGCAATCTGGAGGTTGCAAGTTAACCGCTACCATTTGATGGCACGGACAAGCACTGTACAGGTTTTTTAGTTCTTTTTTTACGAGTCTTTCTTTTTGGTTAGTCATACATGCTGAACCTTTTCCGCAACTTCACTCATTTTCGTGCGGCGCCTTGGACAGCAACGCCTCCGTAATGCCACCAGCTACAACAAATAAAAAGAAAGAAAAATGTTTGGGAGCAAAAAAGAGAGAACACTTTTTGGAAACAGTGCAATCAGGGAACCTTAAAAAAACTATTTTTGGCCCACCCCATTGAAACTTCAAATGAAAGAGGCACCCGGTAATACCCTGCAAAACCTCGCGAAACATTGAGGTAAACCTTGAGATAAACCTTGAGGGTAAATCTCAAGGTAAAACTCCAGGTAAACCTTGTGATAAGGAGGGTAACTCTATCGATGGTAAACCTCGATGGTAAATCTCGAGGTAAACGTCCAGGTAAACCTCAAGTTACCCCTTGCTGGATTTTGCATTTTTCCCAAAGCTGATAAGGTTTGTTTTAGCCCCCAAAGTTCTCAACAAAGCAAATGGCATCCACTGCTAGTGTAATTACATCGATGTGGGGCTTAAATCACTATTAAAATATATCAAGCAGTCGCTTTTCAGACGTGGGACTCATTTCCAAATTCTGGGACAGAAATTCATGGGAAAAATATTTGCGTACCTGACGGGAGCAAAATGATGCTATACTGAAAGCAATCAGAGCAAATAGGGAGATTTGTGTCCAGAACCTGAGCCAGTCACGATATCTTCTCCTGCAGTGAAGAAAAAAAATGTTAATGATATGCGTCCAGGCTCTGCAACAAATTAAATGTTTTTCCAACAAGTCCCTGTGTGTATTAAATTAGCGTTAAAATTCAAGCTGCAAATAATTAACTATTTGAAAATTTTACTCTGTCCAAATGTGGTAAATGTTTTAAGGTGAGATTCTACATGATACCAAATGACATTTTTCTGTTCCTTGTTTTGATGTAATGCCTTGCTTTACCATTCCCGTAGTTCATCTACGTGTAAGAACCGGTTTCTGTACTCACGTGGCAGCTCAAACTATACTCTCGTGGCAGCTCAAACTGCGAGACGATCGGGAAGAGCGCTTCATAGAAATCTTGCAGCACGGCTTTCACCATATACGCGTCGGGACTGGCGTGATCAATGTTGTCATTCAAACAGACAAATTTTCTGCAGGAGCGAAGGAAAAATATTAAATAAAAGCAGTGGCACAACTGAGTGCGGAGCGGGGGGGGGGGGGGGTATTAGAGCCCTGTGTTTCCCCTCAGAGTTTGAAAGTACAAAATGAACTTCTTCTTGACTAAACCCAATGAATGACCCAACGCCCCCATTCCCTTCCCCCCACCTCTAAGTCTTCCTCTCCTCTCACCCCCCCCCCCGGAAAATCGAACCCCAGTTTATGCCAATATACATTTTCCCGGGTCATCAGGTGGAAAAGAACTGGTGCACTTAGCCCTTTTCACACTAGAGACTCTCAACCTGGGTTGAACTCAACCCTGGGCGACCCCAGTGCCGCCCCAGGTTTAGTTTTTGATTTTTCAACCCTGCGTTCAACCCCTTATCGTTTCACATTTGTTTCATGCAAATCAAGTTTATCATGCTCAGTTACTAATGCTCTGAACCCTGGCAAGAATTTCAACCAGGGGTTGAAAATCTTAACACTGGTCTGGAGCAGGGTTGAATTCAACAAGTTATTATGCTTGAAACATTGTTGTTACAATTTTGATAATAATTGTATGGAAGTTTGTGGAGAATTGTCACAAATGATGGCCGCTTCAATAATCAAAACTGTTTAAACGAAACCCAAATTATAAAAAGGACCTGCGTTCACCTTTAATGCAGCCTTCCTTTGAGTTCAACCTCAATAGCAGAAAGCTAACGATGTTTTAAACTTATTTAATTTAGAAAATCTTGAAGCACTTAATACTTGATTACGTTTGGGGCACAGGTAGTTAAGCTTTCACTTTTCAATGACTGGCATTGTTGATTTAAACATTTAAACGGTTCTTAAAACATTCGCTAAACGTTTACAAAATTATACGAAAAGTCACATCCTTAGAAGGCAAACAAAAAACTATGACACTTTGACCTCAATCGTTGATTAAGAGTTGGCAGAAACTGAAAACAATTTACATGTGTATTTAGAAGAAAAAAAAAATGTACCATGACCCCAACACACCCAACATAATGTATAGGCACCACATCACCTGATGAAGTGAATTTTGTTCACACCAGCTTCATCATGCAACAGTGCGGTGATAAGTGGCATTACTATTTACGTTAACTCCGTGTTGAATTGTCATTGCGACCGAATTTTCTAGCATAGAAGACACCTAAACTATTTGGCAACGTTCTGACTTTTCTCATCTGCGACCATTCACCAGTTTACATGTTGAGGTAGTGCAAATGTTGAAGTTTGATCCATTTGGCTGAGATTGCAGTGGTAAAACATTTGACAGTCATGGCGGAGAGTACAGGATCGAGGCTGACAAATGATGATGATTTCTGGGAAATGAAACCGACCGATTGCCAAACTTGCGACAACAACTTGGAAGGAGTCAGCATTTGGTGCAATTGGGACAATCGCCGTGAATTCATGCATCATGTGCGCCCTGGAGACAGACTTGAGTTGATCAAAAGCAATCTGCCACATATGCACTTCTGTGCCATTTTCAATTCCTTCAATAGATTGGAACCCTTGGGCTGGTATGCAGTCCAATTCTCCAATCATGCCAACGAAGAGTGGGGAGCGTACTCAAAGGAAAATACTTTCTTGAATGTCAGTCTCCCAGCCAGTAACCATGTAACTGTATCTACCATGGTATTCCTTTTTGATGACGCTAAAGTAAGGATCAACAACTCGAAGGATAAAGACTGGCCACCACTAGGCCCGAGACATATCAGCAAGGAAGTTACGTATCAGCTCAAAGAATTACACGATAAAGAGTTTGGTATTGAAGTGTACGCGTGTAGAAATCAGTTCATAGACAGTGAAGACTTTGTGAACTACTGTCGATATGATAGAGATCATCAGCATAACTACTGCAGAGACAATAATTACGGGAGAGTAAGCGAATGGTACAGCAAGACTAATATCGAGGGCTTTATTCATGAAGTTCGCGTAGGAGACAGGCTGGAGTTCACATGCAATTCTACGTATGAGCGCTGGGGCATCTACATCGGCCAGTGGAGGGACGACTTGGATCAAGTAGTCCTCTTCGCCCATGGCGACAAAACGAACTCAGCAACGTCCACAGGGAGACTCAAACCAAAACTTTGGGTTAAATCCATACGGATACATGTAGTTGATGGATGCAATCAAGTCAGAATCAACAACGAAGACGATCGGGTTTTGCCACCGTTAGACAGGGAAAATATTCTCCAGGAAATCAGTCGTCAGTTGTCGGGCAGGGTGGGCAGGCACTACAAATGCAAGGTTTTGTTCAAAGACAGTGAAGGCTTTGTAAACTATTGTAGATATGATGACGGGGGCATTAATTTTGGGCTAGTCAGTGACTGGTGCGAATGGAGGAAGTCATTGCCACGGTTGCATGTGGGTGACAGACTGGAGTTCTTTCGCACCGCTCGGCCGTACACGCACTGGGGCATCTATGCTGGCGAATGGGAGTTTCGCCACGACCAAGTAGTCCACTTCGCCCCGGCTGACGGAAATGGGAAAATCTTCTCCAAGAAAAAGATTTCTGGTTCAGGGTCCTCAGCGAAGGACAAACCGGTACTCTGTGTAGGCAACATCTGGACATTTCCGGGAAAGGTCAGAATCAACAACGAAAGAGATCACATCTGGCCACCGTTTCACAGGACGTACATTTTAGATGAAATCAAGCGCCAGTTGAAAAGTCAATCAGATGGCAACAAGCCGGTGTATAATGTTTTCCGCAACAACTGCGAGCACTTTGTGAACCATTGCCGGTATGGGAGACATCGCAGCGACCAGGTAACCCCCTTTTCTAGGATCCGTGACCGTTTGACGAAAGGGCATTGAAGTCTGAGGACAGTTTCAACAAATGATCGATTGCATTCAGCAGCCATCCTAGGAACAAAACTACTTTAAATAAGGGAATAAATGTGTGCTCCGGAGGTTTTTATCACTCTGTTTTTAATACCGCTTAGAGTCTGGGTGCTGATAATTACCCGAGCCGGAGGCGAGGGTAATTATCAGCACCCAGACTCTAAGTGGTATTAAACAGAGTGATAAATACCGACGGAGTACATATTTATTCCCATTCATAAATACCTTTTCGGTAAAAAAAAATCATATAATTCGTTCAAAACATCCCGATTTTGTTCAACAAATTCACTTAATGCTTTTTGAATCATCCCTCCTGCAAAATAATGGAGTGTTCAGCTGGCGAGTAAGATGAAAACAACCCTTTTATGGAGATTGACGCGCGCGTATCATGTTCTATGCGATGTCGCGCAGAACGCACCTGGCGCGTTGCGATTTGAATTTAGAACTATAAAATTCTAACTCCCTGGTAGTGTTGCGCATGCCTATGTGAGGATTGTGAACGTTCAACCAATGAAACGATAAGAGGCACTGGATTTTTAGGAGTCCACATTTTATTGTGACACTGGAAAAGTGTTTAAGACCAGCTAGCCATGTCTTTATCATCCGTTTAATACCGGCCACGTGACGGGCTCTCGACCAATAGGAATGGCTAAACTGTCTGAGGTATTTATGAATGGTAATTCATTAACAATGATCACACAAGAGGTCTACTTAAGCGTATACGCGTTAAAAAAGTACACACCTCAAAGATTGCGCTGTACAAACTATTGAACAATGTTTGATTTTTTGTTTACCTAGATGCAAAATAAATTGTCCTAGAATTTAAGCACACTATATCTCATTCATAACAAACCCTCTAAGATATTCATGGATTACAATGTTTTTATTCAACTACTAGGAATCTGCAAGAATAGATTTTTATGTTATAAGCCTAATCTTTGCGATAATGATGTATTTAAAAAAAAAAACCTGGCGCAGCATGTGGGACAAAAGGGGACCTTTTCTTTGACTACATGCAATAGCTTTTTGTTTAGACATGTTTTGTATGCTGGTTTGATTTTCACATGTTACTTCAAGCTGTATTTAGCCTGCTCTGGTTGATCCAAATATCCCGAGACATTATTCTCTGCAGGCTCAGATTAAATATGAAACCACTTTTGTATTGTTGAGAAACAAAAATGGTTTTCATCTGTATTTCAAAACTTTGTTCACTTTGGTTGATTTGAAACATATTGTACCAAGCTTAGACCATATTAGGCTCATTGTACATTAACCCTCCTGCTGTTTGATCAGTGACAGACAGTCAAAGAATCAATCCTCACCCTGCCATGCCTTTACACAGAGAAGTCAATAAAAGTCAGATTATACTTCGAGCAAGCACTCTGACTAGTCAAATCCAGTCAAAAGACAAAAGCAGGCACAAAATCAGCACAGCTGGCTAATCAATTACCTACAGTTTCAGCAGAGCTGTATCAAGTTACACCAATAGTCACAGTCAGTCAATCCTGCTTTAATACATACATGTAGGCTGGGAGCTCTTAACTGTTTGATTTGTCAATTGTACATACGCAGATGACTCTACAATAACATGTAGCTCCTCAACATTAGACGAAATCGAGAGCAGCTTCAACAAAGCAATGCTTAGATTAAACGATTGGGCAACGAGAAATAGGTTAACAATCAATGCTTCTAAAACCAAGGCCATGCTCATTTGATCAAAACATAAGATTGCTTCGAATGACTTGAACATTTTTATTGGTGACTCTTTAGTTGAGAAGATCAGCTGTTTTAAATATTTCTTCCATTTCTTCCAAACAAGGTATGTTGAATAGAATTCGTCTTTGTATTCCAAGAAATAGTCTTTGCACTCTTGTTCATCGCCTATAGTCATGTCTACTCTATATTACTGTTGTACATTCTGTCTGGTATGGGGAGGCCGATATAAAAAAAAATCACCACGAAAAAGACACGCTCAATAAATTGCTTATCAGAGCCGCCAGACTAATTTTT